GGGCGGGGGAGCCTCGGGGGCAGAGCAGGAGTAGGAGCGGGCGGCCCGAGGGGGCCGTCGGGGCAAGGGGCTGTCCTCCTCGAAGGGGCCCCGAAGGCCACAGTCCAGGCTGAGGCAGTAGCCCGCACGGCTGCGTTGGATGGAGCGGAAGAGCACGTAGTCGACGGAGCGCACGGAGCCCTGCAGCTCCAACAGGCATGAGTCCTCAGATGGGCTGGAGCCCCCCGGGAGGTCGCCGATGGCCGACAGCACCAGAGACCCACTGTCCATGGACACTGTGGGTGGCAGGAGGCTCTGGGTAGCCCCGGGACCCACGCCTGCCTCTCAGCCTGCGCTTTGGCTCAGGGAGACTGATACATCTGGGGTTCCAAGAAGCCACAGCCTAGACCAGGGCCTTCGCCAAACCACCAAACTCAGCTTGCATCCCCCACCTCTCCCCCACAACCCAGCTGCACCCTCCCAGGCAACCCTCCACCGTCACGGTCACTGTTGCTGGGCTCACCATCGACAATGGAAGCCACGCGCTCACAGATGCAGGGGCCATCGTGCAGCTGAGGGTCAAAGAGGGTGGCCTGCAGAAGACACAGCGTCTGGGGTCCAGCCCCACCAGGGACGTGTTCCAGCCCCAGGTGCCGCCATCCGAGACTGCAGCCCACTTTGTACAGGGCACCCTCCTGATCTGGGCTTCAGTCTCCATGTGCCCCAAATAGAAATGACAGCTCCTACACCCCTGACCTGCCCAACCGGGCTCCAAGGACGATCAAAGCCGACAGCAGCGAGTTGGTGCTGTGATCTACGTCCAGGGCCTGCAACCTACTCGGCCTTCCAGGCTCCACCCGGCTGCCCAGCCCTGCTCTCACCTGGCTGTCTCCTCGGAGCCCCATGACAGCCTCATAGGAAGGGGGGCAATCAGTCGGGTACAAGGGCACGGGACTGTCCATGGAGCCGTTGTAGGTGATGCTGACGGATGAGGGGGAGTGTCAATCAATGACTGGAGCCAACCTGACTCTACCAGGACCCCTCCGCAGCACCCCCCACTCCAGCCCTCACCCCTCCCTCAGCTTCCCCAGCAGGGCCTGCCAGGCCTCACCTCTGGGCATCTGTCTCTGAGCTGCAGGTGTACTCTGGGGGATAATAGGGTGGCGGGGGCACGGGTGGTACAAATTCCTCCAAGTCCAGCATGGTGTGTAGAAGTGGGACCGGCGGTGAGGAGGCACAGCCCAGTGGCCCCAGGGCACCTGAGATGGAGCGGTCGGGGGCCAGCTGCTGGAGGGCAAGCCGGTCAGCAAATGGTGACTTCTGGGAATATGGCCAGCTCCCCCTCACCTCTCCCTTCTTTATGATTCCTGAGCCCCATCGCCACCAAGAAACTGCCCCACACTGGGCCCTCTCTCATCCAGAACCAGGTCTTCCTGTAACCCAGCCTCCACCTGGGCCTCTAGCTCTGGCCTCACCCACTCAGAAACCCCTCCCTGGGGCTCCGCCCCACCCAGAATCCCACCTGTTCTCACGGGACCCATCCCTACGAAACATCCATCGTTGCCCCCTCCCCGCCTCCCTTCTCCAGGATCTTTTAGACCCCGGCCCACCCTTACTCTCTAAAGACCCTGCACCCAGACGGGCATCACCTGCTTCACTCACTTCACTCACCTGCTTCACTCACTGAGGCGCATCCCCCACCCAACCACTGTGCACCCAACTCACCGAGAACCCAGCCCAAGATGGGCAGGACCTCTTGATGCTCTCAGTGGCGGTAACGGAGGAGGCCACCATGCTGAAGGTGACCACCAGGATGCCCAGGACCACCAGGATGCCTCACCATCTCCTCTCTGTGGTCCCCATCCTCACCATCTCCTGGACCCCCTAGACATCCCTCCAGCAGACATGCCAGGGCAGCTCAGAGACCTGTGCTGCAGCCACCGGCCCCCTCTGGCCCAGGCAGGTGCCTCTCCGAGCCAGCCCTTGGCTCTACACCACCCCACCCGCCTCACCGTGTGCACCAGATCCAGGGAGAAGATTTGGATACAGCAGATGATAGCGGAGAGGGCACATGTTACAGCAGCACAGACGGTGAGCCCACAGACGCTAAAGAGCAGGTTCTGGAGGAGGGGAGAGAAAGGAGCAGGCTGAGCAGGGGGTGGGTGCGCTGGGGCCAGGTGGAGCCCTTGGACCCAGGGGCACAGAGCCAAGGGCAGTGACTGGGGAGGCAGGCGTGGGAACTAGGAGGAGGACTAGAGAGGGGAGGGAGGGATGCATGCTCACCTTGAGAGCCCCTCGAGCCTCATCACAGGTGGAGTTCGGGGCAACTTTCAGTTCCTGCCCCGAATCTGGACAGGGCCGGGGGAGTGGAATGGAGGGGCAGCACACACAGACCTGGCCTTCCTGAACGGGAGCCAGGGTCAGGACCGAGCCAGGGGTCCGGCTCGCCACCCCCAACCCATCCGCTCTTCCCAGCAATCCCTCCTCAAAGCTCACCATCGAGCAGTCTTGGAAGTCTCGAGCCAGCTGAGCGTTCTTACAGGAGAGCACCGAGCCGGCCATGCTGAGCATGACACAGAGTACGGAGAGCAGGGAGAAGAAGGAGACCTGGGGAGAGGGCACAGTCTGAGGGCGGGGACCCGCACAGCACCTCCACCACCACCACCAGGCCACCGTCTTCACCAACTGGAGAGGCAGCTCGCTCCTTCAGGACATTAATGGACCCTGGACCCTTGGCACCTACCACTAGAGTAAATGGCCGCTTCCAAGACACGATGCCAACCACGCCGGAGAACGCCAGCTGGGGACAGAGTGTCACAGGCTCAGACTGGCAGGGAGGCACCTGAGTGAGCCCCTCACCACGGGTGCACCCAGCCCTGTAAGAAGGGAGGGGACCGAGAGAAGGAGAGGCCAGGAGTGGACTTGGAGCCGGTGTGGAGGGCTGGGGACTGAGGCGCATCCCCCACCCAACCACTGTGCACCCAACTCACCGAGAACCCAGCCCAAGATGGGCAGGACCTCTTGATGCTCTCGGTGGTGGTAACGGAGGAGGCCACCATGCTGAAGGTGACCACCAGGATGCCCAGAAGCACCTGGGCCAGCCCCAGCGTGAGCAGGGCCTGCAGCCAGGGCCGGTGGAGGCGGAGGTGGGTAAGGCCCCGGGTGCTGGGCCGGCTGGTCAGCGAGCGGCTCGAGTCACTAGGGGAGGTCATCATGCCGACCGCCCGGCTGCTTGTGCCTCGCTCGGCCCGCCCTGGCGCTTGGGAGCATCTCAGAGGCGCCCAAGGCCCCGTCGTCCTTCCTCCTCTCCACCCGCCTCGCTCTAGAGCCCACCCCCTGGCTGGGTCCCTTGGGACATGGCCCCGGGACGCCAGCTGAGGGGGACCCCAGGGGAGGGGCGTCACGGAGGGGCCGCGGGGTGCTCCCTCCCCACCACGGGCACCGGGCGGGCACCGTGCCCGGGGTGGCGGTGAGGACGCGGGGGCACCAGTTCATCGCATCTCCCTAGAGAGGAGGGGCGCGAGAAGGGGTTGGCCTGGGAGTGAGGGGAGGGGCGGTGGTAGGGAGCCCGGGAAGGGTGGGGAGGAGAAAGGCGAGCAGGATGGCGAAGGACTCGGGAGCAGAGGGGAGGGGTCAGAGCAGGGTGACTCTAGGTGCGGCCGGTGTGCCCTCGCCTCGGGGTGCCTAGTGGGATCCGGGGCCGCCTGGTGGGGAGAGGCCGCGGTGCTGTGCCGGTGCCTCCGTCTCCCCGTCTCCCCGTCCGCCCGCACCGCTCCGCTCCCCTCCCCACCCAGCTCCGCTAGCCCGGGCTCCAGCGGCTGCAGGTCCCGGGCTGGAGGCGGGGGATGGGCCTGGAGAGGGAGGAGAGGCGTGGCTGCGAGGACCAGTGCCGCGGTGCACCCCGGGAGTTGTAGTCTGGGATGGCGCTCCCCGTGGGAGGGGAAGGGCCGAGGCGGGGCAAGGCTGCCTTGTCTGCCAGTAATAGGGGCTCCTTCAGCTCTGGATTACCCCGCCCCCCGCGGCTCCAGCCTCCACCCCCTTTCTCCACACCCACTTGAGCCCCACCCAGCCTCGCAGGCCCTAGGGCTCAAGGCCTTCCTGACAGAGGCAGAGGTAGAGGGTCTTCCCAGGCCCCTAAGGGTGGGGGACAGGCTTGGCAGTGGCTCTACGCCCACCCGAGGGCTTCCCTTCCTCCTCTAGGGCCAGCCCGCTGTCCCTCAGGCCTGGGCCTGACCTTTCAGGCGTTCATATTCCACTTCTACTCCTCCGGCCCCCTCTGCGTTCGCTCCTTCCTACGGGCCCCAATTCCCAATACAATCATCCAACAGGGCCTTGAATTCCAGTTCTACTTTCTTTTTATTTAAATAACCGAAGCAACAGCCTTGGCACAGCAGAAGGAAGCTCGGGTGGGTGGGTCAGGGTGGTGTGGGAGGGGCAGCTGTGTGGCCTGATGGGGATGGGAGCCAGCAATGGGATTGGCTCCCTGTGGGCTCAGCAGTCATGGCCGTGGGGCAGAGGCTCTGGGGGGAATTGACAACAAGCAGTGATGCCTCTCCAAGTCCCAGACACCCCAAGGATGGGTGCTATGTTAGCTCCCCCAAGTGGCAGGGCCAAGGATCCCAGTCAGGGATCATGGGGCCCGGAAGGCATTTTCGGCAGCGCCGGCGGCTGCATTGGCAGCTGCGGTTCGGACCGCAGGGTTGGAAAAGACACCTGCTGCGAACTCTTGCTGGGCCTTCTGAAAGCTGGCTCCTGTGCGGCGATACAGGGAGTGGATCTGCAGCGAGCGGAGGGCAGAGACGTGACAGCAGGTCAGCCACCCACCCAAGACGGCCACCACCCAATCACCAGCCTGCTCTACTAGCTGCTGCTTCTGGGCTCTGGCATTTCCGTGCCCAACACCCATCCACACGCGCGCACACGCCCTGCCTCCAGAGGTCCATTATCTGGGAATTCACCCATCAGCCTGGCCCTTCTGTTTCCCCAGCCCCCAGGGGCCATGAGCTCACCCAGCCACTCACCCGCTTTAGCATCACGATCCCCAGCACGGCGACGCCGGTGAAGAGCAGGGCGACCAGCAGCATGAGCACAGCCACAGCCTTGTTGATTTTCAGCACCACCAGCGCGGAGATCCAGCCGCTGTGAGTAGGGGAAGGCGAGTGGCAGTGAAGAGGGGACGCTCCTAGCTGGGTTTCTGTCCTTCCAGATTCTCCACGACTGCCCCACACATGCCCCATCTCCCGACGGCAGTCCCAGCCAGGCCGAATCCACCTGTCAGTCTGGCAGCACTCCACACACCAACACCCCAAGACATCCTCTCTCCTTGCAGCTTGATCCCAAGCTTCCAAACCATTAGCACCTAGCTCCCCAGGATCTTTGCCCCCCCCCCCCACTTGTCTGCAAAGGCCTGCCCCTCCCCTCCTCCAGGAGGCCCTCAAGGGTCAGAGGGTTGACCACTTCCAGGCTGTCTCTCCTCCATTCATGCCTTGGGACTGCTGGCTAGGCTCTCTCAACCCTGGAGCTATGACCTGTTTCTCCCATTAAACAAGAACGTCCCCAAGGGTTGAAGACCATGCTTCCTGATTCTGAACAACAACCCCAGCACTCAGTTCAGGCTGGGTCGAAAGCCGTGTGGGGAGGAAGGCTGAGGGGAATGGCACCCTCACGGACCTGAAGCCCCAACCTCGAATGCCAATGGCCTGAAGCACAAAGACTACATCCTGGACGAAGAAGATGAAGAAGAAAACAAAGAAGTTGAATGAACTGTCGCTCCTGCAGGGACAAAAGAATAGGGCCAGTGGAAGAATCAGGGTTGGCGGAGTGGCAGCAAAGCCCATCCAACGAGGTCCCTGGCCCGGCCCCCTTACCGGAAAGCCTTGTACATTGGGCGGTACCAGCAGACGAAGGAACAGGGAGTGAAGAGGATGACCCAGATGATGGAAAGCCCAAAGTCCGAGCCACTGGTCTCCACACAGAAACTGGCCAGGCAGGCGAGGAAGTTCAGAAGCAGAGCCACGGTGCTGCCTGAGGGGCCAGTGGGAGGGCAGGTGACGGGGCCTGTGGACGGCCCAGGACTGCTTCCCAGACACACCCATCCGACCCTCCCCAGAGAGAGGCAAGGAGGGCAGCTCTGCCTTCCTGGCATCTTCAAGCCAACAGGGAACACAGGACAAGCCAATCTCCGTCACAGGCAATCTGATTTAAGGGACTGAGACCATGCTGGGGCACCGGGGCGCCAGGGGGCGCGCGTCCCCACACTCACACATCCAGAGGTAGTACATGGTGGAGACCGTCTTCTGAAACTCCTGGGGGATCTCCATGGAGATGTCCTGGAAGAAGCAGGGCTGCACTGGGCAGAAGGATGGCAGTGGGGGCCAATTGTTCTGCCGAGCTGTGAGACACAGGGAGCAGAACCTCAGAAGTCAGGCAGACACCAAGAGGGGCTCGCTCGCCCTGGACCCCCTCATCGACTTCTAATTCAGGGTCCAAGGCGGTCAGAGGCTTGGGGTGTGTGTGGGATATAACGGCAATGATGTGTGAACATGTAAAGGCCCACATAGCCACTCACTCTGGAGAAGCAGAGGCCATGGGCTTCGGGACAGACCCCCGGGAACTCTATGGAGCAGCCAGCCCTACCTGGCCTTACAGGACTGCTTTGAGTTGCTTGAGGGCAATGTTTTCTTTTTTGGGGGGGGCGGCGAGGGAGGTTGTTCTTGAAGTCCTTTGCATATGTGGCCTTGTTTAGCCTTCACAACAGTCTCTAGCAGGTACACACGTTAATCTCACTTTAGATACTGGGGTTAGGAAGGGACGGTCAAAATTCAAACTCGGCAGTCTGGCTCCAGAGGCTGGGCTCTCAAGTACATGTTTCCAAAAAGCCCTCCTGGCTCGCGTCAGTGGATGTCCCCGAAACCGCAGGCTCACTCACTCGCTGTGCCCCCCAAGGCGGCGGCATGCTGCAGCTCCCGCTCCCTCCGGTCCAGCTCCTCGGCCTTGCGGTTGAGCTCCTCCTGCTTCTTCAGGAGCTCGGCAGTGGCTGCGGCTGCAGCAGCAGAGGCCTGGCCGGGACACGCAGCAGGAGGGGGCCGTGAGTCTAGTCTCAGGAGGGGCCCTCTCCCCAGGGCCACCCAGGGTCCATCTATACCTGAGTGTTGTAAGAGCCATAGTTCTTAGGTTCTGTGGGGCTGAGCTTTCTCGAAGGCTGTGAAGGGGGTGCTGAGGGTGGAGGCAACGGGGCAGGGGCAGGAGGCTCATAGGTTGCTGATGGCTGTTGGGTTTGAAAAAGACCAGAAGCTACCATGTACCTGAATGCCTGCAGGCCCCCGAACTCACGAGGCAAGCCAGCAGCCCCTCGCCCAGCAGTCAGAGAGTGAGCTCTTTCTAGTGAGGGCTAGATGTTGAAGTCACCGGTGACTTGTAGCAGCCCCATGCCCCCGACCTCCAATCCCTTAGCAAGGCTTGAAGGTCCTCATGGCAATGCCAACTCTGAATCCCAACACCCACCTCCCCAAATCTTGACCCTTCTCGACTACCAACCAACAGCCCTCCTCCCTCCTCAGAGCACGTGAAAGGTACCCCTGACCACAGTGTGCCGCCAATGGATGTCTTCCCAGACAGACCATGCCAGATTCCAAGTCCTCCCAGGACGGGCTCAACCCTGATTCGTTGGCTGACCCTGGCGTCTCTGGAAGAATCAGCCAAGCCATGGCACACAGCCTCTCTCAGGGGCCCAGAGCACGATGCCCCAGCCTTTCTCGCAGGCAGTTGGAAGGGGCTTTACGGACACACCCTCTCCTTGCTTGCCTCCCTGGAAACTCACCTCCCGGGTCTCAAAAGGGTTGTAGACATCAAGCGTGGCATACTGCGGGCTGGGCCGGTGCTGGATCACAGCTGGGTCCTGAGGGCAGAGACCTGGGGCTCAGCTGGCACCTGATGCCTTGTGAGGGGAAATTCTCAGGAAATGCTCTCACATGCTTGTGGCTCCAAGAGCTGCATTCTAAGGGTCACACCGTTGTCCAAACCCTAGCCCCGCGCCCTTCACCCCGCAGCGTGAACTTCGCACGAGCTGGGCCCGCCCCGCCCCCTAAGGTGCTCACGGGCCTGGAGTCTCCCTCACCCGCACGTGGTGGCCCTCGCAGGATCAAGTGCCATTAATGCAAAACAAGTTAGCCTGACCCTCCAGGACCCGGGGAGTTTTAACCCAGCTGCCCCACGGAGGTCGGCGCAATTCACCTGGAAGGGATTGTCAAGCTCGCTGGGCTCGGCGAACGGGTTCCCGCCGTCCCTGCTCTGAGCCATGTCTGCAAGCGCGGGCTAGGCCGCCCCCAGCCCTCCACGCCCCTGCGGCGGCAGTGGCTCTCGGGGCCTCCTCTCCGGCCTCCCTGCTTCTCTGTGCACCGATTGGCCGCCCTGACCGGAAGGATCACCAGGACCCCCGCTGCAGCAGCCGACTGCGCTTGCGCCGGCAGGAAAGCCGGAAGTATCCCACGTGACGCCACCAACCGGGTCCCAGGCGAAGTACCGCCCCCTCTCCACGTGACTGCCCCCTGCTTCGAACTACAGCTCCCAACAAGCTTCTGACGCGTGTGGCCTCGGCGACCACCCCGAGGTGGACGCCGGGAGAATTCTGAAAGATCTTGGCATGCCCTCCTGAGCCTGGTTCTGCCAGGTTTCCAGCCGGGTTCTCGGCGCCGAGGTGCGGCCTAATGAATGGCTATGTAGTAGGAGACTTTTTCCAACCGTCACTACTCCTGATCGCAGGTAGCCTTCCAACCCCACGGGTGCTAGCCCACCCACCACCCTCTTCCAGAAGCTGGTGACCAACGTGGGGGCCTCGGGAGGGTAAGGTGACTTCCTTTCATTCCCAACTCAAAGAGAGGCTGCTGGTCTTCTCAGCCCTCCACTCCCATCATCCCCAAGCCTCAAACTCCAGGGGTGGGGTCAGATGGAGCACGCCATTTTATTTCACAAAGACTGTACAAAATTCCTTATAAAACACAGGGTAGATGCCACCTGGTTACCTCATTCTGCCCCCACCCAACTCCAGGGGAAGAGGCAGGTGAGTGTGGGATGGAATGGCATTATGTACAAGGCAGAGCCTGAATTCATAGGTACAAGCTCTGTCATATTCACACTATTCCACATATTCACAGATGTGTAGGGAGCCAGGAAGGAGTGGGCTCCGGTTCCACTCTCATGTATAAAAAAGCACCAGTGTCCTGGACTGGACACCCCCTGCTCTGAAAGATGCAGGGGGGCCCAGGGCCTGATCGTCACCGACTGATATCCCGACTGGAGTCCCACAACTTGGCGCTGGGTGGCTCGGCCCGAAGCCGAGTGAAGAAAGGGTGTTGAAGGGCTTCGCCCAAGGTCAGCCGCTTCGCAGGTTCATATTCTAGCATGCTTTCAATCAGATCGAAGAGCTGGTGGTGGTCCTCTGCCTCTGAGGTCAGATACCGCTGGTGGTGGAGGGCAGGAGAAAGGTGAGGCCGGGTGTCTAAGAAACCCTACCTTCTTCCGGGCTCTCACTTTCAATCATAGAGAGCCAAGACTCTGCTGGGAACACCAGCTGGAGTACTGCCTGACCGTGACTGTGTAGCATGAGCAGTGCTTCGGGCAGTAAGCTCAACCTACCACACTACTAGCACAAGCACGCTTTCAGACGCTTGAAGAGCTCCACTTGGACATCCTGTGCATTTCATGGGTCTTCTACAGTTCCTCATTAAGGGGTGAGCTCTTCCCAAGAAGTTTAGTCTTTTAGGACAAAGGCCATTACTTTGATCTCTGCTTGGCTCAAGACAGACGTGCCTGCCTCCTTCCCCTCCACAAAAACCACTCCCTCAGCTCTCCTCTGTTGACCAGAGATGTCTGCTTTTCCTTTTCCTTCTCTCCTTTCCTAACCCTCTGCACGGGGCACACCCCTCAAGCAGGAAGCGACTTCTGGGCGGTGGGCATGCTGCTCACCTGCAGTGGTTGGCAGTTCTCGCGCACATAGCGCCCAGCCGATGTGTTTTCCTCCCAGTCCAGTCGTCCCCGGTAAAAATACTTCTGCTTCCTAGAGGGGAAGGGGAGGTTGAGGAACCAGGAGGTTCCTCTTGTTATGAGATAATTCTTTTATTCCCCCATCTGAGAGTAGCTGGCAGGGAGGGGAGGCATCAAAGAAAAAAAGAAAATGATGTGAAACAGACCAATTCTGCAGAGAGAAAAGGGGAAAGGTCACATCCCTCCCACTCAAGGTTCACCTGGTCTTCCGGATCATCCTGGAAGGGATAGGACCCAAGATCCTCTCCATCATGGCCAGATGTTCTCTGTTGTCATGAGTCTGGGGAACAGAGACCAGCACAGGGGAGTGGGGATGAGAAGACAGGACACGCAGGAGGGGGAGTGAGGGCATGAGCAGGCACGGAGGTGCTCAGCAGACTAGAAACCAGTTAGGAAAAGAGCCGGGGGTCAACTCTGAGACACCCCCCGACTGACCTGGAAGAGAGTGAAGCCAACGTAGTACTCAAAGATGATGCAGCCTATGCTCCACACGTCACAAGGCTGTGACCAGCCCAACTCTGGGAGGGAGGACGGAGGACAGTGGTATGAGGTGTCAGTGAGCCCCCACCCCCCACCCCCGCCACACCACATCTCCTCATGCACTTGAGCAGCCTTGCCCTCCCTTACCAAGGATGACCTCTGGTGCCCGGTAGTGGCGAGTGGAGACGATGGTGCTGTGGTGCTCGTGGTCAAAGGTGGCGCTGCCAAAGTCTACCACCCGTACAGCCGTACTCTTCACACTGCGCTCGTCCCGCTTCTAGAAGCAGCAGAGGGGAAGGCAGCGCCTCGCCTCAGACCAACACCCCCACAGTTCCCTAACGTGCTCCTGAGCCTGGACAGCGAATGTGGCCTTCTGCCTGCCCCCGAAGGTCCCCTCGCCAAGCCGAGCCGTGCCCCCTCACTACCCAGGCTGACGGTGTGGAAGAAAGGACTGCAGCAGTGCGGTCTGTATGGTCCTGAAAACCACACCAAGTGGTCAGTGAACGCTTTCTCTAAAAACGTGGTAACTGAGGAGTCAAGGGAAGCAGCTTTCTGAGCGCCCCGCTCCCCATTATCTTCAGCTGGACAAGGGCAGCTGCTTGCTACCTTACAGAAATGTATGCCTGAAAGGAGGTCTAAGACAAGGAAGGTCAGTGTGGGAAATTCACTGACCACCCCCCACCCCCACCCCCCCAGTCCTCTTCATACTAGCTCCAGCCCTCTCCCATTTCTTTTAGCCCACTCTGGGACTCGGCTGTACTTGTCCATTCTGGCACACTGCTTTTACTCACGAGAGCCAGCCAGGGAGGAAGTGAGGGCGAAAGAAGTGAAAAAGAGGGCAGACAGGGCCAATGGCATAGCTGCCAGCCCCCACGGGCCCGGGCAGCCCCGGTCCACTTACCTTCTCCAGGTTGTAGGTGAGCTCGTAGTCCGAGTTCACAAACAGGATGTTTTCAGGTTTGAGGTCCGTGTGTGTCAGCTTGTTATCATGTAGGACTGCAGGGGAGAAAGCCAGGTCAGGGTCGGCCCAGGCGGCCAGGGGCTGCTAGCTAGCACCTGCTGCATGGGGCCAGCCCTGGTCACCTGGGGCACAGCTGGTGAGGGGACAGGTCCAGCAGGCCTGGGGCTGCTCTCTGCTCAGCATGGGAGCCAGGTTCAATGCCTAGTCTGAGCAGCCTTACTTTTACTGAGACACAGGCCATTCCCACGGGTCTAAGACACCGAGTGGGCTGTGGGTCCTATTCTGGTATTGACTTGGGCACCTGTTCAGTGTGAAAGTTCACGCCTATGAGCCTGCATTGTTGTGAAGCCTCCAGAGGAACTATGTGGTCTGGATTCTGTAGCTGGTTCCCTGGCTCAACTCCGCCCTGACCCCACGTGCTCTGCTGGGACTCAGAGAGCACCTCATCGCTGAGACAGGCCAACCTCCAGCCTCAGTGGGGGTTTGTGTCTTTGTTTCCTGCCTGACAACACTTTGCCAAGGAAGGGGAAAATGAGGACATTACGGGCTTCGCTTTCAAAGGTTCTCTCTTCGAGCTCCTGCTGGGTTCAATGGGGACATCAGTCAAGAAGCTGAGCCAGAAAAGGTGATGTCAGGGTGACCATGTATTAATGAACTGCAGATAATGGAGAGTTGACTGCCGAGGGGCTTCACCAGTGCACCGAGATGGCAGAGGTCCAGTGGAGGGAGGGGCTGCCCCAGAGTCCACCTTGGCCCACCCCACTCACACTTGACGGCCTGGCACAGCTGGAAGGCCATGTGTCGCACTTGGTGGATGGGGTAGGGCAGGTAGTTGTTGTCCTTGAGGAAATCGAAGGTGCTAAGGCCCAGGAGTTCAAAGGAGATACACATGTGGCCGTGGTAGTCAAACCAGTCAAACATCTGCACACAGAGGCTGGGAACAGAGATGGGGGAAGGAGGATAAGCCCACCACCCCTTGGCACAAAGGACCACGCAGCTGGGGATTCTCCCTACAGCAGTGCTGACAACTTTCTCTGCAGGTAAGGAACACCTGACTCATGAATCGAGCTAACAAGGCAGGCTGTAAAGCACTCTGTTCCATTGTAAACAGTCAGGCAACGTCAAAATAACAGTAAGCAAAAATCCACTTGATTTGCTCAAGAGCTGTTGAGTGGCACCGTGCAGACAGTGTGCACCCTGGCTGTCGAGCTGTCAATGCCAGTCGTGAGTGACCCTCTAGCCCGTTCTTGAGGTTCCCGCTCATCGGCTACCACCAGGGCCAGGCTGAGACCGACTCCCCCCGTTCTTCACTTGTGTTCTCCTTCTGTCCCACAAACACACGTGAGCAGAACTACTGCACGTCACTGTCTGTACCTCAGCAGCAGAGCCCCAGGGACAAAAATGTATTCATTTAAAATCAAACTATCCATACACAGGAGCCCTGGCGGCAGAGTGGTTGCTTGTTAGGCTGCTAACCACACAGTCGGCAGTTCGAAACCACCAGCCATTCTGCAGGAGAAAGACAGGGTTTTCTGCTCCAGTTGAGAGTTACAGTCTCAGAACCCACAGGGGTAGTGCTACCCTGTCCTATAGAGTCGCTATGAAGTGGCATCGCCTCTATGGCAGTGAGCTGGGAGCTGTTGGCGTGCAGGGCCCTTGATCGCCCTGGGGACCAGGGGAAGGGTTAGAGCGCCGCAGGCCCTGATGGCGCACTACTGGCGAGTGAGGAGCACACAGCAGTGGGATGACAAGGAATAGGGCAAGGGTCCTCAATCTTTTTAAACAGGGGGGCCACTTCACTGTCCCTACGACCTGTTGGCGGGCCGGACTATAGTTTGAACAAATTCCTATGCACACTGCACATATCTTATTTTGAAGTAAAAAACAAATGGGGCAAAAGCACCCGGCTGGCCGGATAAATGTCCTCAGTGGACCGCATGTGGACTGCGGGCCGTAGTTTGAGGACGGCTGGTCTAGGACTTCCTTGCCGGCCTGCTCAGGCCTGGGGGTCTCTCCTGGGGGCTCTCTGACTCCCCTCATTCTCTTGAGCTGCTTACTTCGAGTTGTCAGGATCCTTCTCGTTGATTTTCTCCAGCACATTGATTTCAAGGCGAGCTGCCTCCTTGTACTTCTCTACGTTCTTAATGATCTTCAGGGCCACTCGTGCCCCGCCCCTGGGAGTTAGCAGGAGAGGCTTTTGCTGGGTTCTCTAAAACACCCCTAATGGAATAGACTATCCTGTCAGCCCGTGCCCTCCCTCTAAAAAGAGCCGCTGGACACCCCCCTCCTCCTTACATCTAGAGTCGGCTTGGGGTGGGGAGGGGCTGCTAGTTACCTGCGATGGTCCACGCACTGTACAACTCGGCCGAAGGTCCCTTCTCCTAAGGTGCTTACAATCTCATCTGCAATGACAGAGCAGGGTCGGGGAGAGGGAGAGAAGGCGGGGGATGAGCTGAATTGGAAGCAAGACAGAGCACAGCAACCTGGGGTGGAGATGAAGGAAGGGGGACAGATACAGATGGTCACAGGGGCAGCAAACCCCTGGATGAGCCCCACCACCTTTAACCCAGGGGCCATGAGAGCGGGTAGTGGACAGCAGAGGCCAAGTCTCAACAGCAACTCAAACCACCCAGATAACAACACCACTGAGAAGGCGAAAGAGGCCATGACTTGGGTTGGCTGGGGACGTTAGGATGGCTATGGGACCATTACAGGCTATAGGATTGTTACGATTTGGCTTGTACATCGCTCTTGTAGCCAGTCCCCGACGTGGTAGATGAGGTGGCCCTCAGCGTCGTCCTCTACACTCTTGGCTCTCCGGCTGCTGTGCTGCTGTCGGGGGGCGGGGGGGGTTCGGAGCAGGGGCCGGAGGAAGGCGGGGTGGGTGGTGGAGGGGTCACAGGTCACAGGCGCCCAGCCAGGGGGACAGACGATGATGGGGGACAGTGGAAGGGAACACGTCAGATGCAGTAAGGCGGATGGGGCGAAGAGAGAGAGAGCGGCGCACGATCCCAGGTCCCCAAACCCACATCGGGGACAGGGAGAGGCATGGGCGGAGCAAAGAAGTGGTGTCATTGCCAGTGTCACCCACAGCCCCATGCTCTACCTAATGCCCTTTCAGGAACAGACGGCCCTAGTCCCCACCCAAGCCTGCCTGGCAAGGGGCCCCCAGAGGCCAGGGCTGGAGTAGAACGGCATTTCACAAGCAAGGTCCCCAAGAGAGTGGAAGCCTCTGGGCTGGAGGAGCTCCTCCTGGACACAGTACAAAGCCCAGCATGCAGGGAGGGCAGCGGGCAGACGATCTGTGCCCACACATCAAAGCCACTCGCCTGCCGGGCGTGCCGGCAGGGCCGGTGCCCACCTCCACGTGCACCCCCCAGGGCTCAGCTGGGAGCGAGAACCGGGCTCGCTCACCAGGCTCCGAGCGGGCCTGAGTGCAGCGGGCAGGGGAAGGGTGGGGCAGGCACTCACCGAAGATGAGCCGCTGAAGGTCCGGCTGCGCCGCCTCCGCCGCCTGTGCTTCCTGCGGCTGCTGCGCTGGCTGCGGTAACTGCTGTTCTCCCGGTGGTACTCGCACGAGTGCCGGTAGTCTGGGTCGTAGTAGGCCTCGCCCCGGTCCCGGCTGTAGTCGTTGCGCCTGTAGCTGCCGCAGTACCTCCGGTCATAGGCCCTTCTGTCTGACGAACGGTCGCCATAGCTGCTGTTGGGCCACAAAGAGAATTCTTGTTACACATGGCCATCAGGCCCCATCGTGTGACACGGTCAGCCTCCTTCGAGACGAGTCTCCGACACCCGTTCATTTAGGCGAATCAAAACCAGGGGGGGACTAAATAAGCAGGACACCAGAATCTGTGCATCACCAAGACCCCAGAAAAGGGGGGGCTCCTCCTGTCCTTCAGTGAGACATGAGAACACTTCTTTCCCAAGCCCTCTCTGCTTGAAACTCAGCCTTGCTCCACGCCATGTCCGTGTGCTATTAGATTCAAACCATGTAAACCTAAATGCGTTGCCCTCTAGAGCCTACTCCAGACCCCCACGCCCTCCCACGAGTTGTCCCCCAGCCAGGGATACCTGTCTCAGTCCCACTGGTCCTCAGAGCTCGCCTGTCACTTTCTCTGGGAAGTTCCCTAACGACAGAGACTGGTTGGCGCCTCCTCCACCTGTCCATAAGCAGGCACACGCACTTCCCTACGGGACCTCCCTCAGGACCACGTGGTTGTGGAGTCAGGGCAGTTCAGGGAGCACGCTCCTTTCCCAGTCCACTTGCTTTCCCCATTCCGTCCGGCATCAGCTGCCACCCAGCAATGTGCCAGCACTCTGCCCTCTCGCTCCCTGCATTCCTCCTTCCCACCCACCTCCCCATCCGGCCTGGCCCCTCCAGCCCCTGCTGCTGGCCTGTCCCAGGGGGCCGCTCCTCCCTGGTGCTCCTTTTCCCACCATCAGCCTGTCTACAGTTTGGCAGAAAGGTGCTCTCTGGACTGGGATCAGTTCCAGACCTGAAGGGTGTCTAGGGGCCACGGACTCCCAGGTAACACTTCAGTGTCAATGGCCTGTTTCATTATCCACCCTGAACATCTTCACGCAGCGGCTGAACACAGTGCCCTCAGCATGCAGCCGGTTTCTTCAACAGCGAGGGACCCGAGGTTGAGTTCACCTCCTGCCATCTCACCTCCGAGAACGGACGTGGTAACTGTCTTCTCGCCGCCGCCGCCTTGTCCGGTCACTGCTACTAGACCAGGAGCGGCTTCTTCGTCGTTTGTGCTTCCGGCTGCGATAGTGCTCGTGGTAACTCCCCCGGCTGCCTCGCTCTGAGGAGTGGTACCTTCGGGGATGCGGCATCTAGGTGAGAAAGGAAAAAAAAATTGTGAGGGAAGGTTTGAGTTCTCAGAGGCTCCCTCCAAGGACCCCTAAGTCAGTGGTTCTCAACCTTCCTAATGCTGCAACCCTTTCATACAGTTCCTCACAGTGTGGTGACCTCCCAACCCTAAAATTATTTTCGCTCCCAACCCTAAAATTATTTTCGTTGCTACTTCATTACTGTGATTTTGCAACTATCAGGAATTGGGCGACCCCTGTGAAAGGGTCCTTTGACCCCCAAAGGGATCTCAGCCCACAGGTTGAGAACTGCTGATGTAGGAAGTTATCCCTGCCCTAGTAATTCCTCTAAGGAGCCCTGATGGCATTGTGGGTCAAGCATTTGGGCTGCTAACCCCAAGGTGGACGGTTCAAACCTACTGGCAGCTCAGCGGAAGGAAGATGAAGCTGACTGCTCTGGAAAACGATTTCCGGTCTCGGAAACATGAAGGAGTAGCCCTTCTCTGTCCTATTAGTGTTGCTATGGGTCAGAACTGGCTCCCTGGCAGTGGGCTTGGTATATGTGGTTCTAGGACCCATTGCTCAACCTTGCTTTTCCCCAAACCAGGCTCCAAGAAGACCCTCAAGCCTGGGTCATCGTTCCATTACAGGTGTCACATTTGGCTGAGACTCAAGATAGATCAGTGCCACACTGACTCAGAAGATAACATATTTTGTGTTAATTGTCCTAAGGATTTAGTCATTATGTAGTTCACCTCCACAAATGGACCATTAATGTCCTGAGTGCAGGAATCCACGATAGCAGGGATATATGAGGCATAGGGGCAAGGTCCAGGGATCTGGGCCTGGCCCTTTGACCTCTCTGGGTCAAGTCCCTTGAGAGGTTTTAGTAGATAGCAGGCCTGAGACTACAGTCAGCTTCCTATGTGGCCCTGCCCCTTGAGCTAAAGGGTCGAGAACAATTAGTTTTTAATTAACATCAGCATACTTGGCTAAGAGCTGGCGGCCTGTAAGTTAGTGGGCGATGGAATGGCCTGGTCCTCAAATCTGTTTTTTCCTTCAGGAAACCACCTTCAGAGAAACCACCAGTCTCATTCCAGGGGATGGGATGAGGCGGGCAGAAGGAAATGGGAGGGCCCAAGGGCAGTCTTGTGTGTGAGTGTATGGGGTGGGGGGTACGGGACAGGTGGTAAGATGTGGAAACTCCTAATGGCGCCAACAGGACTTGCATACTGAACCACCTCTTCCCAACTTCTCAAACTGCGGTGGGCTGCAGTGGACTCCTTCCAGGGCTGGAGGAAAACAGCGGGCACAGGTGCCACCGGACCACCTACAACATCCTGCCACCAAAGCAGCCCACAAGCCATTTCTCCACAGAGCCATCTCCCACCTAGGCTCTCTGTAGGTTTTCCCCTTTCTCATTCAACAGATCCATTAGCAAGCGCTATCCTCGAGTGCCGACCCCCTTGGCTCGGTCCGACTTCGTTATTCTCATCTGTGGAACTTCTAGCTCCACTCCATCGCCCCTTCCACTCCGGCCCCTCCCAAGGTCCCTACAGGCTTTACTGGCTGCATCAGGGGACCGACTGCTCCCACCTCCCGCCCCAACTGCCCACCTCTGCAGGTCTCAACCCTCCTCCTCTCTCCCCATCTTCGCCCGTGCCGTGCCCCCAGCCTGATCCTGTCCTGCTGGCCGCGCAGGGGGCGCCCCCGCGCTCGCCATCTTTCCGCACGGCCCCGCGGCCCAGCAGCCCGC